TATAGAAGTACATACGTAACCGTTAGTTTTATTAATACGTGATGTTACAGCAAATAATAATATATCAACTCCTAACAGTTGGCATCTAAGCAGAAGCAAATTTATAATGGAATTGCTTTAGTAGTACTGTGGCTGTGTAGAACACGTCACTTCAACAGGAGCATTGGTTCATACAAAAGGTTTTTCAAAGAAATATTATATTATGAAGAAATTGAGACATAGAGCAGAAGATTTCTCGATATTGACGCAAGCGTTCGCACGTGTCTCCATTAGCGTTACAATGCAAAGTAGCTCTACCTAAAGCAGAAAATTTTCGAGCGGTCTTAAATTTGCTTGTGTCGATATTATTATGAACCCACAGTCTCTGAGATACTGGGAGCTGCGATACCTCCTCCTGCCCAAGACCTGTCCCTCTCTCCCTCCCCTCCCGGCGGACCCCGACACCGCGAGACAGGAACAAGAGACGCTCATCTCTAACTTTGTCTGTTTCCTCGAGTTCCTGAACCACTTCAGGAAGGGAGGGACCGGGGGGTCGCGGAGAACGTCCTCCGCACAGGCGGCCCTGCAGGTACACTGAAACAGAAAGAAAGAGCCGGGATACCACTGTTTGCATGTGTGTAATTATGGCTCCTACAACGCGTGCATCCAAGGGGTGCACAAGAATTTACATAACTATGCCATTATTACGGGTGCGCATGCGCTAGGATGCACCATGTAAAATTAGTGGTGTGATTTGCTTCTTCTTCTTTTTTACGGTTGTGTTTGTTTGTTTTTAAGAGCCCTTGCATGCACAGAGAGCTTTCTTCTTTCCCTATATTTGTGTGTTTGTGTGTGTGTAAGGACTGTGTACGTCAGGCGACACAGAACCGCCACAGTTCACTGCCTACCAAATCCACCACCACCTCACTCCAGAGAGCAAGACACACACCACGAACCTCCCTCCCTGCCTCCCTCGAGAACCCCTCTAGTAGGGCGAGCTCGCTCTCCCCCACCCCCACCCCCACACCCGTCCCCGCCGTCACACCCTCACGCAATAGACAACTCTCCGAGATCGATGAAGAGGAGGAGAAGAAGTACGAAGCTACAACTTCCGCGGCGGTGCCAGTGGCATCCAGGAACGACGGAAAGAGGGGTAGCGAACCTCTGGGAGGGGAGGAGGAGAGGAGCAGGAGGGAGAGAGGAGGGAGACAAGGACGAGGGAGCCATCGTCGGCGACAGAGCGCAGCCGACGTGGACACCGCCGGGATGAAGATGAGATCACGAGAGAACCTCCTCCAGGTGGAGCACCAAGGGAGCCAGTCTAGACAGGAGTCTCCTTCACGTCGCGAGACCAGTCGCTCGCCCTCCCTCACCCCACTCCCTGGTGACACCAAGAAGGACAGCCCGCGGACGGAGCGATGGAAGATCGTCAACAAACTCAAGAAGATTGCTCTGGAGGAATCGCCCATGAGCTCGGACGGTGAGACGGCAGAGAAACCGCAACAAACGGACGCGGTGTCATCGTCCGAGGCCAGTCAGAGAGAGAGGGAAGCAGAGCTGGAGAGTTCGCTGGACTTCCAGGACAGAATATCGGCAGCTCTTACGTCGCCTGTGCAAAGTGGGTCCACTGGGGAGGAGCCTGCATCAGTGAACATTACCTCCCCGTTGGAGGCCATTTTGGCTGCAATGGAGAGTGAAACGTAAGACCCCAAGTTTGTTAGTAGGGTATTTTTGAAGCTTGATATAGCGAAGATTTGTCTGCTAAGATTTTGTATTAAGAAAATTCTATCCCCCCCTCCCTTTCCAGAGACGGTATAGATTTCCTGGGGACACAGACTGGCTTCAGCAAGGGCTCTTTCATTGCCATGGACGCCGTCAAATGGATCGTGGAGAACGTGAAGGGAGTGGGCACTAGGAGACAAGCGGTAAAGATACTACGGGTAAGCCAAAACAGTATTCTCAATGAGTAAATAGAGCGTCTATACATGCTGTATGTATGGGATGACACTGACGATATTTCACGTGACCCGCACTTATAAACTCACTCCATATTCAGTTATAAGACTTACACGTGTAGCTATATCCTTGCAAGGTTGGGTTTCAACAGGTGTGTTGTTGTGTGTGCTGCTGCAGTCAATGATCTCGAAGCAGATGGTGGTGCACGCAAGTCGAGATCCAACAGTTCCCTTCTTCGACGGCTACTTCTTCTACTGCATACATCACCGCAAAGAAGGTCAGCTAAACACACACCCGTCTCATGACAGACTTACCTACAGTTGTGCATACCTTGTACAGTCTGAAATGTGATGCAGTGCAAAAGTCGCACAAGGGTCAAGAGTATATATATATAGCCCTGGTTGGGATTCGAACCAACGGCACTCTGCAGTCTAGGCTAAGCGCTCTTAGTACCTACTGAGCTACCACGGCAGGCTCTAAAACAATACTTTCCAGCCTATTCACATAGACTTGGGCTATGAGCAACCTGTACAGTGTAGCAGCATACGTATAATTAACCAGTACGTTAAAGCCTTTATATGGCAACACACTACACGTTTAATTTTAACCCTTTCCTCACAGAGCCGCAGAAGGACGCACTCAACAGCTCCTACTACATAGTCAACAACGAGTTCGACAGTTTCAGCAGGAAGTGGTTCGAGACGGAGATCGTGCACCCCTCGTCTTCGGTGGCGGGTAACGATCGGGATGACTCCCCCTCTCCCCCTTCTCTGGCCTCCTCCCTCAAGACCGGCCAACCTTACTACATGGGCTTCGACCAAAACGAGGAAGGATATGGTGAGAGAGGTCCCGGCACATTACATGGTTATAGTGGGAAATTCTCTCTTCAGTAAAGTTGTCTTGACCAAGTCTAAGAATGCTTTCGCCATACATTTTTTGCCCCGTTCAACTACCTAGTCTTTTCGTAGGCAAAATTTTCTGCATACAACACGCCGTACGTCATCTGTGGTGCACATGCATTGAATCAACATTAGTTGCACAAAACTCTCCATACGGTCAGATACACGAAACTGCTAAACATACCGCTAAATCATTCACAATTGCTCTGGGGAAAGTGCGTGGCTGCTAACTGAGTATTAGTTCACTCTCGGCCGTACTCTGCCTCCTTCTCCCCACACGTGCAGTTCCTCCGTCCATCATGAACAGGAGGGTGGAGCTGAACCCTGACCCCCACCTCCACACCAGTCGGCCAGAGTGGTTCTACGTGCACTACGACCCGGTGTATGATCCCTGCAAAGCCTTCCAGCTTAGGTTTCAGTGGATGGTTACCACAACCAACCTCCTCAGTACACTGGTGAGGCAACTACATACTGTACATGTGGTACTATACACCTCCTCAGTACACTGGTGAGGCAACTACATACTGTACATGTGGTACTATACACCTCCTCAGTGCACTGGTGAGGCAACTACATACTGTACATGTGGTACTATACACCTCCTCAGTGCACTGGTGAGGCAACTACATACTGTACATGTGGTACTATACACCTCCTCAGTGCACTGGTGAGGCAACTACATACTGTACATGTGGTACTATACACCTCCTCAGTACACTGGTGAGGCAACTACATACTGTACATGTGGTACTATACACCTCCTCAGTGCACTGGTGAGGCAACTACATACTGTACATGTGGTACTATACACCTCCTCAGTACACTGGTGAGGCAACTACATACTGTACATGTGGTACTATACACCTCCTCAGTGCACTGGTGAGGCAACTACATACTGTACATGTGGTACTATACACCTCCTCAGTACACTGGTGAGGCAACTACATACTGTACATGTGGTACTATACACCTCCTCAGTGCACTGGTGAGGCAACTACATACTGTACATGTGGTACTATACACCTCCTCAGTGGCAACTGTACATAGTACTATTGTAGGTCCATACACCTCATTGGTGAGAAAACCTTCTCAGTGCACTCACTGGTGAAGCAACCACATACTGTACATACATGTGGTACTACTGTAGGCTCGTACACATCGGTGCAGTAGTAAAGAGGATCATGACACACAATGCAACTTCGTTACGTGAGATACTGTACGTAATTTAAGAGTGGTATGATTGGCCATGTGACATATGTGGTTGAAAGGCAACCTGTTATGTACAGATTTTGCATCCACTGAAACCTAAGCAGATTTAGACCGTCAGACCATCCACGGATTTTCTTGAGGCAACTTCAGACCTCAGGCCATCTTTCAGTCGGTTCTGCCCCGTACTATAATACACTAGTGTATTCTCCGAATAAGGGATTCCTCTAATTAAAGGACGCAATTTCGACGTCTCCACGGTGTCCCTTGTTCAGAGGTTCCACTCCACCCTCTCTCAGATCCAGAGCTGGGTTCGCAATGCCTCGATGTGTGACTTCAACCTGGTGGCAGTTCCAGTCCACAGGAACCTTCAACAGGAGAGTAGTCACCCATTGAGACGTCCCTCCTTCCTCCCCCTTTCTCTACCTCCACACATCACAGATAGCTGGAGAGGTATATTTACACACATCCACATGTACATACATACTGTATTACACTTCAACAATAACCACATAATATTAGGTTCAAAGCTCTCGTATTATATATGGACTCCTCTGGTTTGGTCAAAAAATTGATGCATGAGCGATTGAGCATAATGTGCAAAATGGAGAGTAAAATGCCGTGCTAAGGCATCCACACTGTCGGGCACGATTTGAGATGCATGTGAAGTTCTACTTGAGCTTTACTCGTCATCTATAGAGACAAGTATATACAGTACTGATACATGTGCAAGCCTTCATGATTTGCGGTTTTGAGTCACCGAATTTTATGCCTTCTGTCCCAAAGAAGAGGGAGCAATTTGTGTCACCGACAGAACGAGAATGCTTCTGCTGGCAGTCGCCAGTAGCAACGGTTTCCTCCCCGACTGTCCCTCAGTGCGCCCCGACCCCACCAGTATCCTGTCCCCCCAATACACGGACCCCCCGGATCAGGCGGCCCCCTCGTTTCTCGTCCACCACACCGGTACTGCCTTCATCCAGCTGTCACTCCCTGGAGGCAGCCAGCAACACGTCAACAGCCCGACACTGAGTGTCCACAGTCGTTCCTCGACCTCCTCGTCCTCCGTGTGGCGAGGCTTGCACGGCCAGCTGCTCCATCCTCAGGGCCGTGGAGCCACCAGCACACCACTGCAGAGATCTCCCGCCAAAAACACCAGCCAGGGTTCCGTTGATTCCAGCGGTGAAGCAAACAGCACGTTGAGTGACGTTGAATCGTCTCCACACAAGACGACAGACGATGGCGATGGCGCGGCAAGCAAGACAGGGTTCTACTGGCACAAGAACTGCCTTCTCCCAAAGCAGAAAAACGTTCCGGCGGGATTGGTCGGCAGGTATGACGAGGTGTTACAGAAACTCACCAGTGACTGTCGGAACACCGATCGAATGTTGGAAACTCTCTGTGAACGTTTATTCACGTAATTCAGGTATTTTAAAAATTTGCAGGTATATATAATTCACTGATCTCTCATGGGTTAATTTATTGCCACTATCACAGACACATGTACATATTATATTTTTCAATCTCTTGTAATGAAGTGTCTTTAAAATGCGCACACAACTAAAAAGCCGGCTGAGCTGGTCGAGTAATTCTATATCGCGGTCACATTTGTATTTTTTAACTTCTCCCTCACATTTTCTACATAATTTATATAAAAGCCGCAATTACACACAATATCGGCTAACAAAATTATTGCACATTGAGACACAATAACAAGTATATTGTGAAAATGTTTGATTCGTGGTTGAAAAAAATTACACCAAAGAAAAAATTACGTCTCTGAACTTACAACGTACTCGGCAAACTATATGACAAAATGACACAATGAAGGGAGAATATCACTGCTATATATAAACATACTAGCTATATAATACGTAGCAAACAAAACACGTCAATATTTACACATACACAATGAGATATGATTGCTGGGACGGGCAGGGAGATGAAAAGAAATGGCGCCCTGCCGGCACGCTAGTCATTGAAGTGACGGTAAATGGTGACTAAGAAGGTCATGATGCTCCGCGAATCAGGCACAGAGATTGCCAACATGTCATCGACGTCCAACATTTCAGGAATACCGGCCTCCCTGTGTGCAGCAGGCAAGACGAGAGAGAGAGAGAGTACACATACAGTATACAGTACTTAGTGTATAGGGGCAGGGTACCTAGCTAGCTAGCATCGTTGGTTTCTCTGGGAGGACACATTATAAACACGTGAGGACACTTAAATAAAGTTTCCAACCACATATAGAAGGCAGTCTGATAATTATCAGTTGGCAAGCAACAGAATTCCCAAATACGTAGATATTGCTAACTTTGCGATTTAAGTTTTGAAATCACATACGACTTGACTCAAGGAGTGCCTTTTTACACCCATAAATATCATATTATCTGAGTTGGTAGATTAATTGAGGAGACGCTTACTTGGCGGCATCGAAAGCGATGGTGAAGTTCTGACGAGGGTTGCTAGGCGACAGGTCGTCGTAGGGAATCTTGTCAGGCAGGAAGCTGTGGAGGACGGCACAGAACGCGAGACCGTTGGACCAGCTGTGTCGGAAGTCCTTCACCTTCACGTTCTGTGTTTTTGCGTGTGTGAAGAAAACACGGGGTTGAAAAATTAATGTTGAAAAAGCATCAGGATCAGCATAATTTAAGCAAGGATTGTATGCAGATCAAGGGAGAGAGGGTGGGAGAATGACAGTATATACCTCATAATACTTTGTCTTGTGTTGGCACCAGGCAAGGAGCTGGCCAGTGGCACTGTCCTTCTTCTTGGGGGGAGGAGGTCCTGCCCTGTTTGCAGAGAGAGAGGGGGGGGAGACAGATAATAGTCGATTCTTCATCATAGGCTCAATTGCCACTAGTTAACACAAACACAGTGGACAGTGATATACACACCGTTTCCGCAAGCTCAGTTATGTGTTTGGTTGGATATGGCATTCTTGGACTGATATTTATTACGTTACAGAGTTCAGTAGTTTTTGGCTGGTGTTTATAGTCTGAATCAGGATTTACGGGATTTTAGGATTGGCAGGATTAGAAAGGCGAGGTGTATTTATTTCTGCGGATTTCCCTCAATCCCATTCAGCACAGGCCAACACAATTCCACCAGTTGCAGTCACGACTCACTTCTCTTTGTCTCCACTCTCCTCTTCTCTGTTCTCCCACTTCTTGCGGTTGTCTCTGGCGTTGGCCAGCTGCTCCCTCGCCTTCCTCTCCTTGTAGCTCATCCTTGGCTCCTTCTTCTCATCCATCCTGATAAGATACGTACACAGAGGCCAGAAGAATAATAATGTATCAATAATTAACAAGCGAAGCAAGCCCATTAAGTTCTGACTGTGTTTATATGAACGGGCAACTAGATACCTGATGTTCAAAACCATGTATTAAGCTAATGGCTTCTTATTAATATCGTAGCACTATTGGTGTTTGAGCATAAGAGAGCAATCTAGTAGCACTATTGGTGTTTGAGCATAACAGCAATCTGCCGTGTTTATATTATAGTAATTAGGGCCTGTTTGTCGTCCCTGTATAAAACCACACTGTACCTCAGAGGTACTGACTTTGCGGAGGCAGCCTTGAGTCTCTCCTCCCTGGCCTTGCGCCGGGCCTCTCTGCGAGCCTCGTACGAATCGGGATCTTCCTCTGCCTTGTCCTCCGTCTTGTCCGTCGTCCCGTTCTCTTCCGTCTTCTTGGCCTCTTTCATCCCATTGGTCAGTGGGCGAGGGCTCTTGGACTTGCTCTCACGTTCAGCACTGAAGTCAGAGTAATGAATGGAGCTAACAAACAGCAACATACTACAGTAGAGTGAATCCCTTAGCAGTTGCATCGCCCTAGTTAGCTTCAGTGTCATCCGTCCTTAGGCAGCAAAAAATTTTTGTTTTTTCCGTACTGCCATTTAGTTTCGGAAGTAATACAGATATGGCATGTTGCATGCAACTTTAAAAGGAGGACACCTCACTGCACACTTATAGGGACAATCTCCCGCTGTCCCATTGGTTTCCATTCCAGATTTTATATAGAATGCTCAATGCGATGTAAAACCCACCAAAGTCCAATGGTTTAGACAGTGCATTTTCCTTACTAAAACCTATGGGTGCCACTCAGCAGGTAATGGCAAATGAAATCCCAGATTACTCAGTGTGGTCCACAGGAACCCATTGGTGGCATGTATATCACCTACATACCTCTTCTGTCTCCTGGCAGCTCTTTGAGCCTCGTAGCTATCAGGAGCTGGGGAACTCTCAGCTAGCACCGAATCTGTCTCCTCAGTATTCTCTGGCTCTTTCTCTTCCTCCTTTACCTCCTCCTCTCTCTCCTCCTCCCCTTCCTCTTCCTCTTCCTTTTCCTCTTCCTTTTCCTCTTCCTTTTCTTCCCCGTACTGATCCTCAGGCTCCTCCTCTGGATTGTCTTCGGTCACGGCGGCTACCTCTTCCTCCTCCTTCCTCTCTTCCTCCTCCTCCTCCTCTTCATTTCTCTGCGAGTGTGACCTGCTCGGCTTGGTACTCACTGGTGGCGGAGCTTCTGTAGACTGTGTGTATATGGGTCAGAGTATATAAGTGGGCAGAAAAGTGTAAAACAGTCTAGCATCGAAGGAAAAAGATAATTATTTCGCGAAACAGGACCCTTTGAAAAAGGGACTCCTCTCCATGAAAAAGGGGGCACCAAGTCTTTGCCAAGCACAGTCAAAGACAAGGGTTAGAAAAGATACTCTGATGTATAGTTAGAGTAGTTGGCAGTGACAGTAAAGTTGCACCCACTGTTCGTTTCTTCAGCTGTTCCCTGAAGTCAGTCTGAGCAGCTCTCCCGCTGGAGTACGCCTTTTTCTCCACACTGACTCTATTCTTTAGCACGTCTCGGAAATCGACCTGCTCTCCCTTGGCCCTCGCTTGAGGGAAAGCCGCTCGTGTGTCGATCTTTTTCTGGGCAGCGGTCCTCAGACGACTTCTGAAGTCTCCATCTGGCACACCTTTTAGTTGAGAGAGGGAGGGAGGGAGGGAGGGAGGAGAAGGGGGAAAAGGGAGAGAGGGAAAGAGAGGAGGGATAGGGGAGACGAAAGACACACAGAAGAGAAGAGAGAGAGAGACAAAGAAAAGAGAGAGAGGACAAAGAAGAGAGAGAGAGATGTGCATGGTTAAGCAAGAGCCAAATCTAAGAGATGAAGAAGCAAGTGGTCCACAGAGAAAGAGGGTGGTGTTGTGCGGTTGAAATTCACCTCCTGAGCACAGTATATATATAGCGAGTGACATTGATACATTTGCCAGAGAGAGGAGAATTTGGCACAAGAGATAAGAGAGTTTTTGGAGGAAAGCAGTACAACAAGAGTTGATCAATGACAGACTATTGCAAACAATAGGAATCTTTCAGGAGAGAAAACTTTCACTATTTTTTGCAAATTTTTCTTAACAAAATTTTGTGGCTGAGAAATTTTTGCTGATCTCTTCGGACAAAATTTTGATGTCTGTTTTCTCCTTTGAGAGTTTCTTGCTACCATTAATAGTGAACACACAGAGAATGTGGATGTTTCCTGACATATTGAGTGGGCGTCTCACCTGGCTCTGCCTCAGTGGTGACGTCCTTGACTACCACTGAGTTGTTTCCACCAGCACTGTAGATGGAGCGACCAGAACGATACTCTGGACCTTTGCCCGTCTGGTCCTCCTCCTCCTCCTCTTCTTCCTCTTCCTCCTCTTCCTCCTCCTCTCCCTCTTCTTCTTCCTCCTCCTCTTCCTCTCTCTCCTCCTTCAAGGAATAGCAAAGATTCATACCTCACTGCAACACTTTTACCTACCAACCCTTATAGAAGTACATATATACCTTACAGCTATCTTTCTCTACCACCTTAGAGTTACTTACCTTTGGTCTAGCTTTTCTACCTTAGAGGTGCCTTCCTCTAGCTCTCTCTACCTTAGAGTATCTTCCCCTAGCTTTCTATACCTTAGAGTTGCCTTCCCCTAGCTCTATCTACCTTAGAGTATCTTCCCCTAGCTTTCTATACTTAATCCATTCATTCAGGCAACCCTACACGATAGCTATTCTGTTGACCCACAGTGGCCTTAGTGTGGAAGTTTTATTGTAGGGACTCACTGTATCTACTGGTGGAGTGGGAGACCTCTGAACTGGTTCCGGACTGGGCTCCTTGGGGGGTGGCTCCGGAGTAGGTTCCCTCACTGGCTCTGGAGTAGGCTCGCGGGGTGGTTCTGGGGTAGGTTCCCTCACCGGTTCTGGAGTAGGTTCCCTCACAGGCTCTGGGGTAGGCTCGCGGGGTGGTGGAGTAGGCTCCCGGGGTGGTTCCGGGGTAGGTTCCCTCACCTGCAGATCCCAACCAGCTAATAGTATACTGCTGCACCATACAAGTCTCTAATATCTTCAAATTGGGAGCTTTAATGCAAAGAGCACACACACGGCAGATCACTAAGAAAGAGCTTCAGTGATTTTAGCATTAAATGCCTGAAATCCTCCAACTAGCAAAGAATGCTCCAAAACGTGACTGCAGTTACACAGACATGAAGTACACCATAGACCAACGAAGCTAGAGACACACACGATAAATGCGTCTTTAAGCCCTTTGATTGAGAGTCAGATGGAAGAAAATGCTGTACGGTAGACAGTTGAAGCGAACCCCATAATAAACCAGTAAAGCTCCAACTGACTGACGAGGCATGACAATAATAATTACGGTGGTGTTGGGTGGGACATCAAACAGTCTGGTATGCACCGCTCGAGATCACGTCAAATACGTCTGACAAGCTGGTGCCAGATAAGTCTGGCCACATTTCTGGCTGGGACCACACACACACACATAGTACCTCTGCATATATTATAATATAGCGTAGCCCAACCATCTATATGATTGTACTGACACCATAACATAGCCACCTAATAATTACAGAACTTATGCTGCGCAACAGCTTAGGCCACTTTTTGATGTACGTTGCCCGTGGAGTGTATGTGTGTGTGATGGTATGTATTATTGGGGTTATACATTTTGGGCTTCCATTTTGGGCTTCCAACTTTCCCTTCCTGTATTATACTCTATTCTTTGCCCAGCGTGCTATTATAGACACATGCTATTCTATACGTACGTAGCTGCTATACTTGACTATTGAGGGCACACAGAACGAAGAGAGAATGAGGGAGAGGAGAGAGAAAGCAAAGCGAGAGGGGAGAGGGAGGAGAGAGAAGGAGAGAGAGAGACTCACAGGTTCAGGAGAAGGTTCTCTGGGAGGTGGCTCGGGACTTGGCTCTCTCTCCACTGTAGACAGATACAACAACAGAAGAAGCATGATGAGTGAAAAACCCCTTACAATTGACAATATGGGATACGTACTTTGCCTACAGGGACTTTTGTTTCTATCCAGTGCTAATAATAATACTTCAGAATACTTAAAAGGACGACTCATTACATACATACATTTCCCGGTTCCAGCATATATACACTTGAATGCATACATTTGGAGGAGGAACCGTCTATTTGGCACAGAGAAGACGCACGGGGGACGAAAAGATGGCAAAACTGGCAGTTAGAAGTGGAGGAGGTTACGTACGTACAAGCAGAAAATGAAAGCGTGGAGGATGAACGAGAGTTTGGCACAAACAAGCGGGAAAAACAACTGCACGGGGGATAATGGCAGGGTAGGCCTGGAGGATGAACAGTTAAAATTGGCTTTTCTTAAGATCAGTGATAGGCAATATCTGTCTCACTAATCAGGGCACACACTGCAAATGAACGGAATATATACAGTTCCTTGAAACACTGAACCTAACATCAGTTCCTTTTGGGCCCATACACCCTACAGTCTCTTACACATTCTACAATGACCTCTATGGTCCCATACATAATGCAGTCAGTTCCACACTTTTAACCTCTTTTGGCCCATACAACCCTAATATCAGATCCTATATAATCCTTTTGGCCCATGCATGCGAGCACTAATACATACGTAATGCCATATGGAGCTTGTGTGGCAAGCCACAGATCAGGAAGGGCTCGACTACGCATGCCAAAGCTAATATACTTTAAGACTCCCTCCTCCACACGTCAGGCATGTGGAGCCACGCCATATATGGCAACAACATGAGCCCTGGTTACTATACCTGCAGCTCAATGCTAATATTACAGTAGTAAGGTAATCATTTCATATAGGGCTAGTGGTTAATTTGCATGCAAGGTAAAAGGAGTCACATGCATGCACGCAGGAGTTAAAACTCCCACACTACACCATGTGACACGGGTTTTTTCAAACCTTACAAGGAGGGGAGAGATGGGGGAGGGGGAAGAGGGAGGTTAATAATGACGAGTTTTCATTTGACATGGCACCATCTTAGATTTACACAATACTGTAATTTTGTTTTAAATTTTTAAAGTAAAGGCATGCAGGGGCAGTTAGTTCAAAGTCTGGTTATACTTTGATAGGTTGGCAATGGCTGGTTCAGTGTACTTGTATTGGCATATATATTATACAGTGTGTGTAAGTTGGCTCACCTTGAGCTGGCTCTGGGGTCTTTTCAGGGGAATAGGGAGGAGGGGAAGGAGAAGGAGGGAGAGAGGGGGGAGAGGGTGAGGAGGAGGAGAGGGAGACATAAAATAGAGGGAGTAACAGATATGCTAGCATACATACACCTCAGGGTTAAAACGCACTGTATTCAAATATGGGGGTAATTGGGCACTCAGATGGACGTGTATCGTTTCTCAGTAGCCGTAATGAATGAAAGCCTGAGAGATTGGACAGGCCGACCAGGTGCCAGCACACCCACCACGGCAATTAGAGCGTGTACATTTGCCTGGCAATTACCGTGTAGAAATACACCATTCTAACACAGACGGCGTCGGGCATCTGCATATAACCGAACTGAAAAGTGTGGGTGAAATACAATTTCAATTTGCCACATTCAATGTCACGCCCAGTCTGTACGTATGTGGATAAAAGACGGACCACATGTCGAAGAATCCACTACAACTTCTAGAGTAGGTCCATGACATTGACTGTGTGCTGTGATGTGAATGGTTCTCTTTCTACTACGCATTCTGTGTTTTTCATAACAGTCTCCAACACATTATTGCGAGGGAAACAAGCTCTCCACAGTCATTAGAATTGCGTAGAATTGCGTAATATCAAATGTGATGTGGTCACAGTTAGACAATGCACATAATTACATCAAGTAGAGTAGTTATAGCTGTACACCATTCCCTTGCCAAAATCCATTCTATATAGTAGTGTAGTATGTATGTATGTTGCAGTGCCCAGCAGACAGGACAGCATGAGCCTGAATGCTGTCCTGTCTGGGTACTGCAACAGATTTGTTGGATATTCCTAGGCAAATGACATGTATGAACCCTGCTTGCACATGTAGGATTGTATAGGCTGATACAATCCCCCGGTACCTAAGCTTCATACATGTAGGTTGCCTAGGGATATCCAACAAGTAGTAATGCAGGCTTTATGGGGTTCAGAAATAGTCCCTGCCATAAGGACAGGGCATATATACCAGCCAGTGAAAACAGGAAGCAGAGTCAAATGGGGGCAGTAGGCAGGCACACTCAGCTTACAAATGGTGCTAAGACAACACACCGCTATGGCCCAGCATACCTGTAGCAGATGTGGAGGCTATTGTATACTGCACCTACATTCCCAGTTCATTAGTCTCCCCATTCCTCAGAGCATGTAACACATGCCTCCCAATCAGTGGTTTGTAGGAAGAAGGTCTAACACATTATTTAGGCAATGCTATATACTGTGGCACACACCTTTACTACCATATGTGTTCAAAACTCAACACCTGCCATAAACCATCAGCAAATTATACTCTAGGGAAGCAGAGAGGAGAGGAAGAAGAAAGAAAGGGAGAGAGGAGAGAGGGAAGAGAGGGAACTTGGGAAGCAGAGAAGAGAGACGGGTTAAGAGAGGGGACGATGTGTACACAACTCTAAAAGGAAAGTAGTCTCCCCGGCCAGCTCGTGTTTCCCAGCAGTGACCAAAGAGTGGCCAGAAATCCACACCATAGGTGGGGGCACAAGGCACTGATCATAAACCCGATATGCGGCGGTGCTCCGATGCCAAGACAATATGCCAAATTAAATCAGGGAATCATGTATGGAATGTGCCAACGTCTACTGGGCAGTGGCCACTGGCACTAGGCCTCCTTTCCCAGCCTGTATCTGTAGCTGGCTTTGGTATACATCTAGACCACCTGTGTCTCCATATTGACTCATACAGTGGGTCTTAGAGTTTGTGTACGATGAAAACCACAGATATTCTGTCAATGCCATTACCAACTATTAGGGCTTGGTATAGAGTTAATTCAGACCTTATACCTCCCACGGTAACCCTCTCAGGACAGTTTTACACCCCCCCTTCTCTTCTGGGATACCACATCCTCATCTCATGTACCTTTGGTGGCTCGGGAGTGATACTCTGGGTGGAGCTGACACTCGGTCGCGGTGACCCCCGAGGACTCTGAGTCGACCCCACGCTATTCAGAGGAGATCGTTTCAAATACGCCGAGGGGCTCTGCCGTCCTATGGGGATGACTGGTGTCGAAGTTGGCTCTGTCTTATCCTTCGGTCGGATCTTGTACCCGTAGGGCAGCTGGGTCGTCCGGGCATTGAGGTAGCTCAACGTTTTCTCTCCGTCTCCTTTCTCTGTTTTGTTTGTGTCTGTCACCACGCGATCGGGGAGGACATTTCCAGTGACAGAGTTTGGAATCGTCATTTGTTTGGGCGGTTGAAATGTGCCCATGCGGCGGTACACTGCTGTGCCTGTCTTCTTGCTCGGTGCCCTCCCTTCCGCTTTCTTGATGTTTCTGATGGCCTTGCGGATCTTCTGCCGCTCTTCATAGTCAGTGGCATCTTCCAGCTGTGATGGGGAGGGGGAGGCAAGGGAGGAGAAAGAAGTAGAGGGAAGAGAGTGAACGGGTGTAATGCATTGTGTAGTTGCTAGTGCCTAATGCTGCATGTTGTGAGGGTGGGGTACTTTTAGCATGCACAAAAGGCTCTTTTCGTGCAGCAAATTTTAAACACTACACGTACGCTTACTGCGGAATTGAAAAGTGTAGCTGGTGTTGTTAGCTATGGCGCGCCAAGTAACTGTGCCTCATTTGACTCGCGTGCTAAAGCGATCATAGTTGGCAACACGTACAGTACACACTATGCCTCTCATGCACACATTACGCCACTGAACTGTGCTGCCTCTAGTATATATACTCTACACCTTGTGTAGCATTGACTGGGCAAGCCACAGATTATTGTTCGGAGCCACTCGATCCCATGTCAACCGTACACTGGCCCCATTATAGACATACAGCACTGCACACATCAGTACACTGAAACCCTTTCCCGGCTCTATAATGGAGACACTAGTATCCGTGTATAATAACCCCCATTTATTCATGCACTCACAAAAGTAAAGAACACGTGATCGCTTTTGAATGGTTCAAAACTAAGAGGGTCTGCTGCTTTGATCATCTGTTGCATTATCTACCATTCTTCTCCAGCATTTTTTAGAGGACCATGCCCAAAAGTATTTCAATTTTTGCTGGGACATTCAAGTACGTGCATGGGCAAATGTCTTTGGTTCACAACGCAAAAGGCTCGTGTACTAGTTTAGCTAATGGCAGTTCTCATGATCAATACACTGGTTATGGGGACTGCATTCAATGCAATCTGCTCCCTGATATGTCGAGGGTCTTACAATGTGCAAATTGCCAGTGGCAATGGGCGTGACACAACTACATAGTTAGGTAATTGCGACTAGACTGACAAATTGACGAAAGGGTAAAAAGTATTGATACCAGGAGTCTCCTGCAGCTCACTGAGACAGTTGGCAGGTATGACCTTCTCATGCTTCAAGAATCTTACAAATGCAGCTAGCAATTCTATTGATGAAGCTGCTGTGGTGCCCCCCCCCCATTCATGCAGCGTGTACACAAAGTATGGGGTTACATGGGAGAACACACAGCAAGCAAAACAGGGCATTGTTTGGAGGGGATTCAGTGCTAACTGGAGTGGCATTAGCCTCCACTCAGAGGCTTGGGTGGGAGCTTCAGTTTTGGCTGCAAACAGAGGCCATAGCTCAATGTAACAGGCTGATCGAATTCTCCCAGCACAAAGGCAGTTACCTACAAACAAACACACACCCATAATAGAGCATTGCTCTGTATATAGTGCAGGCGTATTTTGTCCAAGATAGCAGATTTGTAAAATACACACATGCACTATAGTGGGTAGACAGCTTGGAGTCTGTAAAACCACAAGTTTATTTGTAGACACTTTCAAGTCAGATTTGTGCAGTAAGTGGCTGAGTGTATTTGCTCGTGATACATACACAATCACACAAACATTTTTGCTCCGTTCACCAAATGCACACTGCACCACAGACTCTAGCTAGGTGAAATCCAATACATTACCTGCGAGGTCAGGAAGTTTCAGTATGTGCAGACATTACGATCAAAATTGCAGCATAATCACTATAGTCATTCAGAGGGCTACCCTGCTGTGTCAGACACTATTGGGCTGGTGGATGCATTATTATGTCTGGAGTCCAGGAAGGAAAGTGTGGGAAGGCTACTGTGATCTATGTTCAGCTGAGACAGCTACCATCCTATGAAAGCTTTCAAGAGCTTCCGCACTGGGCGCCCTGTGGCCCTCCGGCCATGCATAAGTTATCAGCTCTGTAGCTACAGCTCAACTGCACACGAGGTTGCAGTAGCTCGATGCTACTCGAAGAAACGAGGAGCCGGCCGGAAGCCACAGCGAAAAGGTTGCATTATGGGTTTCAGGGAACGCCACTAGCTAGCTAAGCTCATTCTTTCCCGGGGACAATCGGTTGCACGGCAACCAACGGCTCACAGCAGCTATACACGATACTTCACACTTACACAAGTACAGTGTCTATACTTACCAACTGCTTCAAAGTTTGCTCGTCTTTTCCTCCGAACTCGTCCGCCATGGCTAGCAGAAAGTTCTACGCGCCTCTCTCTTGAAGGCAGTGGCTTTCCTCGCCAACGAAGTGCAACTACTGGCAGTCACGTACGGAGAAGTGCTCCTCTGGGGCTTACAAACAGTGCCAAGAGCGGCCTAGGAGCGGTCTTCTGCGCTGCAAACACACACACACAGAGCTAGCACATGGAATGTCTGAGTTCGCTGTCCGTCAGCTCGTTATACCCGCAGATCCCGACCACATCAAAGCGCCGCCTCCATCCGCCCAGACAAAACGGAAGTATCCTGAAATTCACGTATTTTCATATTATTATTTTCAGGAAGTACGAACAGAATGTTGTTGTACATGTACTATATATACCAAGTCAGCTGACATTTGACAAAATCACGCAGAGTCACAATTTATACACACCATACACACTAACATTCGATACTGATGTGTTCTTTTGTTGGTATAATAATAAAAATACACCCAGAATAGCAATCATGTCACTGAGCAGGAGGTCTTGGTATGCTGCACATTGCAGTGCTACCATAATGTCACGAGGAGAGATTCTCAGAGTTCATGATCTGACGGATGCGGCCTCTTTCGTCCTTTACTCTCCCTCCTGGCATCAAAACTCGCCTCGTGGAGGTTTGACACACTCACGAAATCAACGTTAGCTCGAGTGTCGCTGTCACCTTTCCCCCCTCCTCCCCCCTCTCCTTCCCTCCCCTGCCACATGGCTGGGTGACTCATATCAGCCATTATCCCTTCGGCAGCCGAGAATATTTCGTCGTCTTCTTCAAAGTCTTCTTCTTCGGGGACAGGGAGGCACTGAGAGGCCGGGATCGGGGTGTGAGATGTGTCGCCTGTCGTCACATGTGAGTCTCTTATCCCATCTGCCTGCATGTGGTGATTGAGAGAGGAAGAGGGGGAGAGCGGAAATAGAGAGAGAGAGAGAGGGGGAATGGGAACTGCTGAACTAGATAGTGGTCTATGTGAACTTGCATGCTACGTAACATGCGAAATTGTCTAGTCTACCGAATCAGCTTTCCCCTCAAAACGCTTGACTCCGTAAAATGGCTTTGAGTGTGCAGTGAATTTGAGTGTATTGATACAAGCTAGCAGAGGCTTTGGGCTACATTTCCTCGCCGCCCTCCTTTCCCCTAACAGAGAGACGAGAAAGAGTGTCGGTGTGGCTGTCAGTTAAAAGGAGAGAATGCAGGGGCAGAGGATATGATCAGGGCCAAGGTATGCACTGCCCCCAGCCAAAAGGAATCCTGTGGGAGACATACACAATACCAAACTTCCCATCTGGCCAGGGACAACTATTCCATATGACACCTCGTGCTAACTCCATTCCAATTGTGAAAAGGCGGATTATTGAGACCATATGACAGACATGCTCAAGTCGCGATGGTTGGTTGGGTCATGCATTCTGACCATATAGCGTCAGTTAACAGGGTAAAGTCTCATTAGCCAGGCCATATGCTGGCAGAGCAGGTGTGAAAGTACCAATATGGAAACCACGCCTTGCCAAGCTGTCCCACGGGACATTATACACAACACTGCAATAAGACAATATTATACTACTGCAATACAATACAGAACATATAATTATGCTACACATACATACTACATAGGTACTGTACTATATATAGTAGCAATTTCTATGCTGTAGTATGCACCAGTCAATATTAAAGTTGGCTAGTAGAGCTGAACTAACGACAAATAGCACACTGGGATTGTGGCTGTGAAAACCAATGGAGCATTTCAGTCAGTGAATGGTGCACACAAAATGACAGGGGGGGGAGGGTAAATTGGGGGTCCCACTGTATACATGCATACAAAGAATGGGTAAATGTCAGGGGGTGGGGGTAATTTGGGGGGACCCACCGTAATGACGAAGGGGGCAGTGGTGGTCTTGTGAGTAGGTGACTTCACGAGCGTAGCTTGTCTCTCGTTGTCGTACCGTGATAGGACCACTCTCACTGTACTAGCATGTCCCCAGCTCTCTCCTAACGACATACACAGACACACAATAGTATACAGACACCATCTCTCTTAGGTCATCATATCACATTCGTACACTGTATACATGCGTAGCTGGCGGGCATACATAACAACGCACTAAACCCCAAGGGTGTTTTGCAATAATAATATTCATAAAAATCCGCAAAATCTGAGAAAGTCTCTAGAGATGGTCTCAAAATTGCAAAGTGCACCAAACTAATTCTCATGGATTGGGAGATTTTTAACGGGTGTATATACTAGACATGAAAAAGATGAAGAAGAGGAGGTGTTAAGACACACAGAGGAAGACGAAAATGAAGAGAAGCCCTCCATTGCAAACCACATTTTGAAAACATCGACGTTGTTTACAAAACAAACTAAGAAACACACAACACTTTTGTTGAGAGATTCGGCTGAAATTCAGGAATACGTTTGGCCATCAACACACATACACACCGAATCACAAACAGCAACGTTTCGGTCTGAAGCTGACAAACGTCTATGGTATATATTGCATCTGCGTTTCTCCGGTACGAGAGGCTAATAAACACCTCCAGGTTACCCCAAGCGTAGCAAACAATGTCTTACAACAGGCCATAAGAAGTGGGCAGGTCGTACCAGTTCCCAGCGTGGCACTGAGTTCACTGCCCCGTAGAGCTACACCCACCGTCACACACTGCGGTCTCCACAACTGCTGGCCCCTCTCTCTTCCGTCGCTTGTGGTGTGAGCCCTAGGGCCCTGGCTAACACCACCATCACACCATTAACACCTGGTGCACGGCAAGCTTTTCCAGCGTTACGAGTAAAGCTTATTCTTCAACCCACTGCTACCGCACATGAGCGGTCACCTACGTACGTTTATAGCATGTCTCAACAACTTGGTAACGAGGTAGAAAGGCAAGGCAAGGCAAACAAGTGAACTACACCCAGGACAGCTTGATGTAAGTGTTCATAATATCAAATGGTGGAACATGCACAGAGTTAACCATACTTTCACTAATGGCTATATACAGTGGAGCTCCCTTGCAGTTCACTTTTCGTTGGTCCCTTCCCTTAAAACGCTGTGTAATAAATCATTATTACACCCACAGAGTCAACAAGCTGATGAAAGTGTGGTCAGGAAATAATTACAGGGTAATCAAATAATACACTCTGGTATGGTAGTGGTAAAATGTTTATTAAGTGGTGGCAGAAATTCAAATCAAAAGAAGACGCCAGTGGGAGCTACTAGCATATACTTATAGCAGTAGATTTTGAGGTATATACAAGCAGTTCAGCAGTTTTTCGGAAGTTTTAAGTTTTCTCAGCAAAGGTTGGTCATTTTTCACTCACTTTCTTACATATGCATGAGATTATCGTAACTCCTACAGAGGAGACTCCAATGATGTCACATAATTATTATTGGAAAATTCAGAGTCCGCTCCCTGCCACCTAAGCTGCTACAGGAAAGTGTCCAGCAGCATGCTACCTTACATGGACACAAATCTCCAATCTGTCTACCATTCCTGTGAGTGAGGCTCAACTGGCCACAAGAGGCAGAGACTGGCCAATGGCCCCATTTGATAAGGTTAGTAGTCTGCCAAGCTCCACACATACCAACCAGATGACAAGACCTATTCGGATTGTACTGAGATAGTGTGATCATACATGGTGGACTGCAGTGTGTCCTGTTGTCTTAGTGAGTTGAAACCACTTCCACGTGACCTAATCCCACAGAGGAAGTAGGAGATAGGGTCCTGATAAGGGGTCTAATTTCCTGGGGGGTCAATTTTAGCATAAGGGGGTCGGTTGAATGAAGTATAATTTTTGTGAGGGAATAAGTTTAACTCTGGGAACGTGAACTGAGTAGGAGCTCTTGATCAGTTAGTATGTTTACGTATGTAGGTGGGGCTTGGGGTAGCAACCAGGCCAAATATTCAGGAAAGACAACTGAAACGGAATAGACCTACCAAACGGTGTACAGACCTAATGCAGGGACCACACGTGCACTGTTCTTCTGGCCACGTACCACTCTAGTAGTCGTCTGGTTAGTCAGCACCACCTGCAGGACAGCTTGACAAGGTCAATAGTTATTACGTACGTATATATATAGGAGTGCTTGACAAGGTCAAGAGGTACTATATATTATACAGTACATATACAGTAAGTAAGAGTAGATTGTTTGCATGCTAGGAACTGGCACACTGGTAGCCCTGGATTAGATACCAAACCACAAAATTAAAGGAGCTACTGGGCACATTATGCAGGTGTTATTTCTTACACGAATGTCTCAGAAGGAAGAAAGAAGAGGAGAGAGTGTGTGTGTGTGTGAGAGAGAGAGGGGGAGAGAGAGAGAGAGAGGGGGGGAGAGAGAGAGAGGAGAGAGAGAGGAAGGGAGGTGGTAAGGACTCACAGCGAGACGGTGGGAGGTGGCCAGCTGAATAAGGCTCTGAGAGATGATTCCGAGAAGTCTGTTTCTCTTGGACATGTCAGAGAAACCGTGACGAAAGTGGGCAGCGATGCTGTCTATAACCACCAGACGAACCTGTGACGATGGGGGCAAGGGAATACTTAGCGATAATGGCAGAGAAAACAGTACGTTCCCAGAATATTATTCAAAGTCAGTTTGTCCCACTACAAGAGGATAAGTAATTTTGCGAAGCATGGAGCCTACAGTACAGGCTACATCATTAGCATTATCTGCCACACCGCAGAATTGTTTGAGGTTTTCCTTTCTCTGGTGCTGTATTGTTAGCTGCACTGGTAGCTCAGTGGGTAGAGCACTCTGCCTAGAGAGCAAAGTGTCGTGTAGGTTCGAATCATACCCAGAGCAGCATTAAGAGAAAGTGCCGTCCTGGGTGTACATAATATTGTACTACATGTGTGCCTGTCCTCATTGTTGCACGCATGGTGAGCCCATTGTATCATGATGAGTAAGTATCCGGGCCAAATGAGAGGTATATACTGGACTGTAACGAGATTTGTAAGTTGAGAGCCTGGATTACGACATGAAAATCCATAGTTTTGTTCATATGAGAACAATTATGCAGCAGCGTACTTGACTGCTAGAGAATATGTACATAATTGAATAGAGAGAGCGATCAGAGAGAGAGAGAGAGAGAGATGGAGAAAGTGTCGTTTTGTAAACACCAATAGACCGTATTACGACTTGCGTCAGAAACACGAGCTGTCTGGTTGGTTGGTTGGTATGGCACACGGTTAAAGCTGCCAACCTTAGACCCATCGGGTATTGAAGAGTTAATGTTGCCAAGAATTCCAAGACAGCCCACAAGCAAAACAACATCTTGTCTCTCACTCGGTACAAGGCATACATGTGCACATTGCGCTCCAAGCTTCAATGGCTGTGTCGTCTCCATATAAGGCAGAAGGGTTGCTCGCCAATCAAATACAAATAGCTACCCAATTAAGCAGGGGTAGCGATATAATCTCATTACTTAAGAGTAAGGTGTATATACCTTATTACTTAAGAGTATAGCTACAATAGCACGAGTTGAGAGTGAGTACATGCATGTAAGTAGATGGATTTTTGTGTGGTGCCTGAATTGCCTAAGCAGGCATTAATGGGATTTACATGACCAAATAGATAGGATTAAGACTTCTTTGCCGGCAGATGTTTCGTAAAGACACGCCTATTGCATTGTTTATGGCAGCAGGCAAAATTTTGCAGACCTGAGGATGGCTGGTAATAAACTCTGAGAGAATGTTGACTGTCGCCAGCAGCTCCAGGTAGTCATGGCAACGGAAGAGGTGAATGCTGGCGAGTACTTTCTCTAGACTAACGTCTCTGGCAGCTTGTCTTACTGGTGAGGGAGGGAGGGAGGGAGGGGTGGGAGACAGGAAGTGGGAGAGAGAAGAGAGGGGAAGGAATGAAAAAGGGCTAGAGAATCACGTTAGCTTCCGTCGTACACAAATCAACTTACTAGGACAAACACAATGTTGATGCACTATGTTGATTCAGCAAGATGCTCAGTCTTGTACTCACTTAACACAAAACTTGTAGGCAGATATACATTCTTACAGTTAAACAAGAAGTAATCTACGAGGGTTATTTGAATTTTCTTTTCGGCCGTACAATACCTTGGTCATCGCAGGTGTGGTCGTGGTCCACAGTGTTCAGGTGGTGTACTGCGGCCGTGGCTATCTCTGCCACTCTCTCCACCACAAACGACCCCTCCGTGTCTGGGAATGGAGGGAGAGAGAGGGAGAGAGGGATGTGGTGTAAGATAATGTGTTGGATACTCCGTGCAGCACGCAGCAGAACTACTTTCAACACCCAGACAATGCAACTTCCAACTAACATTCTGCAACTTTGGAGGGATAATAACTATTTGAGAAAAAATTTTCACGTCCACTAAAGTAAGGCTCTCTAGCTATAAAATCTTTAATTCTGTCCCGCAAGTGTGTCATTGTACATATATACAGCAAAGGTAAGACTGCACGTATACTGTGGTAAAGTACAGCGTTGATTATTGCGTACCAATATAGACGGCCTCTCCTCCAACTCCACCAAGTGGCTCTGGAATACTGACATCTACTGCCAGCTGAATGCTACACACACACATATATGAGAGAGAGAGAGAGAGAGAGAGAGAGTGTGTGTCTGTGTGTGTGTGTGTGTGTGATCACCACATCAATACGATGATTTAGGCGACAACAGAGACTGTTTTTGCTCACTAAGCACTTGTGCTACTGTGAAAGTATACATGCAAGGGTAGAGTCTCACGTCAAATAAACAATAATCCCACATCCCACTGGCTCTACAATTATGGCACTGCAGAGTTCAACGCCACATCAAACATTGACATATCTACCATCGCCCATTATACGGCGAAACACCATAATACCAATGGGGAGTGGGACAGTATGGAGAGTATTTGTAATAATGTCTAGCGGAATGGAGATTTGGATTCCAGGCATTACTTTGACATGTCGGCTGGCAGCACCATTGCCAGGTGCTATACACTCCCTCCATCAGTAAACACCGCACTACTAAATGTATGGTCATGCAGCTTACTCCTTGGTGGTTATTGCCAACTATGTTCACAGTACATACAGCTCCCTGAGCAAAAAACTGGACTACATATATATATAGCACATCAAAATCTTGCTCTACCACTGTCAAACAAGCGGTTTAGACTAGTAAAATGTACAGTTTAGTACTGAGCGGTTTAGACTAGTAAGATGTACAGTTTAGTACTGAGCGGTTTAGACTAGTAAAATGTACAGTTTAGTACTGAGCGGTTTAGACTAGTAAGATGTACAGTTTAGTACTGAGCGGTTTAGACTAGTAAGATGTACAGTTTAGTACTGAGCGGTTTAGACTAGTAAAATGTACAGTTTAGTACTGAGCGGTTTAGACTAGTAAAATGTACAGTTTAGTACTGAGCGGTTTAGACTAGTAAAATGTACAGTTTAGTACTGAGCGGTTTAGACTAGTAAGATGTACAGTTTAGTACTGAGCGGTTTAGACTAGTAAAATGTACAGTTTAATACTGAGCGGTTTAGACTAGTAAAATGTACAGTTTAGTACTGAGCGGTTTAGACTGGTAAAATGTACAGTTTAGTACTGAGCGGTTTAGACTAGTAAGATGTACAGTTTAGTACTGAGCGGTTTAGACTAGTAAGATGTACAGTTTAGTACTGAGCGGTTTAGACTAGTAAATGTACAGTTTAGTACTGAGCGGTTTAGACTAGTAAAATGAACAGTTTAGTACTGTATCTGCGATTGCGCTACACTCTTTCAAACTATATATATATATATACTTGAGCCGAGAGCGGAATTTCTCCACATGAGCAACGTAGAAGTAATGACAACTGCACCTATGATGTGCACGTATACCCACCATATCTGGGTCTTCCCCAGTCCAGGAGCACCGCAGAACTCAGTCACTTTCCCGAGTGCCACGCCCCCTCCTAACATCTCGTCAATCCCGGCTGAGAAAGTCACGATGGATCCTTCGACTCCCTCTTGCTGGAGCAGCTCCAGCGCTGAGACGCCTGGACAGCTACCACCGCTGGGGTGAGACTGGTGAGGGTGTGAGAGTGGGGAAGAGGGGGCTGGTTGGGCCGAGAGTAATTCGCAACTTCTTTTTGCAACTTTGACAATTTCTACTAGAGCCTCCGAGTTGCTCACACCCAGTTCTATTGTAAGATTAGGTCAAAGTGAGCATATTGTATTGCAGTATTTACCTCTGCTTAGCTCGACCACCCCAATATTTCGCAGGTCTTCGACCGTTTCGAACCCGCAAGACGCCAGCTTTGCCAGCCAGCTGCTGCTTAATGGAAGAGAAGAAATGGGGCGCTGCATCTTCTGCCCCACTGCCTGGTCAGAGCCGGAAAAGTTTATAGAAACAGCTGGCTTTCTTTCTTGTTGTTTATCTAATTGACGCACACCCAGCATGATAAGGTCAAAGGTCGAGTGTGCCGCTTCTAATAAAGGTACACCTTACTTTCCTTTCAGCGCAGGAACTGCTCACTTCTGTCTGGTCGTCTCGTCCACCTATGGCCCAAGGTGGATTGAAAAAGTCCGGTGGTAAGTTTGTGCCTACTAAGCCAAAGTCCTCACGGAAAAGCAAGCCCTTGGCCCCCAAGAAAAGAGGTAAGCCTAAGTCAGGATTCGCGCGAAGGCGTATGAACTGACGTTTACGTACTCCAGGTCAGCGTATTGCACCGAAAAAGCCTAAAAGCGTTGAAGTTGCTAAACTGAAGAAGGTAATACTGGATTTTGTATTGGTACATGAGTGATGTTGTTTTATGTGTCATTGCAGCAACTGCAGAAGAGCATCAACAAGTCTATTGAGGAGGAGATCACACACAGAGCTAAACAGGGAGGCACCGAGTTCAGAGTGCTCCATAACTCCTCCTCCTCTTCTTCCTCGTCCTCAGCTGCGAAGAAAGACTCTCAAACCAACAGCAAAGAGCAATAGACTGTGAATAAAATCACCTTTCTCCCTCGCCCTCTTGTGCTACTGTGTTGTGTAAAAAGTGGTGATCTCATTGTGTGGTTAATAACACTCATTTTTGCCTCTCCTTCCTCTTCTTCCTTGCTCTTCTTCCTCTTCTTCAACTGCAAAGAAAGTCCCTCAAACCAACAGCAAGCGGCAATAGTTTGTAAACAAATCAACTTCACCTTTTCCCCTCTACTGTGTGTTATAAAGTGGTAGTCTCGCTGAGTGCTGATTTTGGGATGTCCCTGGGATTACTGGATGATTACGGGTCTGATTCTGGCTCAGAGGAGCCAGCAGACAGCCCTCCTGACGGAACAGGGGAGGGGGAGGCCGACAGAAGCAAGGACAAACTGAAACTAAATGTTCAACCATCAAACCCAACTGATGCCACCATTGAAACTTGCGAGCATGTTTCTAATACTGGTAGGGAAAAGGAGGTGGTGGATGACGAGGGGATAGGAAATGCGGATTCTCCTCATCCGACTTTGTTTGGTCTGAGTGGTGAAGGAGACACTCTGGACACAGATACAAGTTACTCTGATACATCTGGAGAAGATGAAGAAGAAGAAGAAGAAGGTGGCAATGGTGGTGAGATTGCTCGAGAACTGAGTCCTCTACCCCTGCCGGTGTTGGACGGCTCCGACAAGCTTGCCTCGTCCGTCTTCTCTAATCCGTACAGAGAGGCCGAGGAGGCAAAGTTGGCGGTGCTAACACAGCACGTCGGTCTCAGTGAACCACCGCCGAGAAAGGAGGGGCGGAAGAGGTCGAGGGGACGCGGGAAAGGAGGCAGGCAAAGAGACAGACCCAGATTGGAGCCGGGTCAAGGTGGTGGAGATAGCAACTGGACGGACGGTGACTCACCAGTTGGTATGGGTGGTGGAAGAGGAGGCAGAAAACACAGGAGTGGTGTGACCGAGAGTCTTCAGCCACCCAGGAAATTCATGAAAACTCACACAAAGATTCGGCACAAGGAACAGCCGTGGACAGCTCAGTGATGGTTTTTATTACGTCATGTTAATTATACCATTGTGAGTAGTGGATTGTAATCACTATAGCTCTATTAATTTTGGCCTCTGAGGAATTGGTGTGCAATGCAATATGTCATGCATGAAAATAATATAGGATAAATTATTAAAGGGGAGGTCTCTGGGAATGAGACTATAAATCACCAGTTCACAAAAAATATATTTTGTTGGAGTACCATTATTCCGCAAAATTCCTGCAACTTAGGTTTGAGACTTCAGCGACAAATGTTTAGTTAATGTTTCTCCATTTTTAATGTTTACAATCTCTCTAATATTAGACGACTACAATGAAGTACACTATAATAATAATGATAAGAATGATTCATGACCCAGAGGAGACGACGTAACGTGTATTACTGGCGATGTTGAGTGTCCACGACATATATCAGCTGTTGTACTGAGAGCCATAGCGACCACGGAACCTCATGGGTGAAAACCCCTCGCTCTGAACCATTGCATCGTGGGCGGCATAGGAGATGGGGTGTTCCAGGAGAGTCTTGGCAAAGAGGAGGACAGCTGGGAATATCTCCTGCCCCGTTGGAAGTATCTGAGAGAGAAGGAGAGAAAATAATCCAAACACCAATGGGACAGAAGAAAGTGTCCGTATTATTAGTGACATTTCCCTATTTCAGGGGTTATATAATCAAACATTTGTCCTTGTTATATACAGAGGTCCCCTTGTTTTGTTGACTGAGTGGTAGACCTGTTTCATTGAGTCTCTCACCTGGTCAGGAGGCAGGAGGAATCCTTTAGTTCCAGTGTCCCTCAGTTCAATGACATATCCAACAGCTCTGTAACCTCCGTTGGTGGAAGATGCATCGTCGCCGTAAAACCTGGTGGGGAATGATGCCAACGGAAATAAATGCAAAGCGTGCTCTAGATGATAACGTAAAGTGGCAAAGATGTCCACATTTTGTCTACTGCTGTAATAGGAAAGAATTCACAAGTTTTTGCTTGCGAATAAACAAGGTTCACTGCTTTACTAACTGAAAATGGCAGCAAACTGCTGTGTTTTTGATATCAATTCCCTCAAGATGCAGCCCACTAATGACTCCATAATTTGACATACTAGAATGAATGCAACATATATATTTTTGATGAAGGTGAGTGCAAAAGACAGTATTGTCGGCACTGAATTTAAAACAATTGTGCAATTCAGACAATTTAGGTGAATTCGTCGTCAATATTGCCCGATTGTACATGGTTCTCTCTTACCAGTCGCTAGCTATTCCAAAACACTGGTAGAGATCAATGGATTTCTCTGATGTATAGTCAGTACCATGGACCTGGGGAATGCCGCAATATTGAATCAGAAAGTGGGAGGACTATTTTGAGGCTGACCTCTTTAATAGCTTTGGCCATATTACTTCCGAGTTGCTTAATCTGTTCATCGTGCTTAGGGTCGTCCTTCGTAAAGGCTGTGCAAAGAAACAAGAACATCCAACAAATTGCCATTACTTAAGACCAACAACATACACAAACAACGTACAAGAGCTGGCAATGAATGGCATTGTTTTGTTTTTTTATGGCAATCTCGTCAAAATTTTGCTGTTTTTCAAAATTATTACTTTGGTGTTTGGTTCATTGGAACCCCTTTCTCTCAAAAGACACCCTTGAAATGGGGACACCCCTCTAATAAGGCATCCCCATTTCTAAGTTGCTAATACGTATACGTTTTTGTCCATATTAAATGGGTTCCATCACCCTACTCCATTTAACTGACCCCAGGGATGAAGAATGAGTTGTCCATAGGAATGCCAGTCGATAGCTCCCACAATGGGTCCGTTGGCCTTCCAATAGTTGATGATGTTCCTAGTCTCTGGTTCTGACATGGGGTTCGGTCCGCCATAGTCTTCTGAACACTCGACCGGGTTGTTGGACTTTTTTCCTCCCTGGAGAGAAAGAGAGAACCCTCCCTCAGTGTGCATGAGCAGTGAGCGGTCTAGGATCTTTAGTTTCTGTGTGTCTGCCTGCATGCTAGTTTGCAAATTTGGCAACCAAAGAGCGATTGTGTCAGCTTCAGCACTAGCAAAAGATAGCTTCTACCTTTCATAGCTAATGCAAGAAAATGTGTGGTAGATGGCCAATAATTAGAAGTAATGCACGTGCGTTAAGTGAAAGTTTGGTGGAATATGCCTTTTTGATGCACACACTTCTAGTTTGCACACCGAGAGTTTGCACTGCATGAAGTCTGACCATTGACAATGAACCATACCCAGCCTGGTGTAACAACCCCACCTACTTATCACACAGGTGAATTCAAAGTGACTATGCAGTGTAGGGATGCGAACCTCTCTCCAGCCCTCTGGGAAGTTTCTGTTGATGTCAACACCCACACAGGGATTAGGTCTCCCGCTCTGCGACCCAACCGTCCGACGGTTTTTCCTCCAAAGTCGATCGTGGGCCCACGTATACTGAAGACGAATGGGTACATATGGTAATGCACTATATCAGCAACACATGGTGCAGAAACATACACAGTGCGATTATACAGAGTGGGTGCATGGGCTCACCACATATCCATCGGGATTGACGAAAGGGATTAGAATTATTTCCGCACTGTCAAGGATCCCAGTAACCTGCACATGAAGTATCATATAATTATAACACGGTCATGTTCCTCTCTCTCTCTCTTGGAACGTGATATTATAATCCAAACAGACCTGAGGGTCTGATTCATCATAAAGGGTGACCATCTGATCCACAATGTACATACAGACCGCCCCGGATATCCACTCTCCTGGAAAACAAACCAACGTAGACTCGTAAAAAACAAAACAGCACATATAGGTCATTTCACGTATACTAATAATTCTAAAGAGGGTGTGCAAAGTCTCTTCACACAGTTGAGCTTAGCTGGAGGCACTTGGTAGCTAAGTGGATAGACACAGTAAATGTACATGGAACCCCTCTTCTAGAATCCAAACTAAAAGAAAGTTTGTCTCTAACAACCCAACTCCGATAATATTGTAAACGAGAGGGCGTGGGGAAGGAGATATGAGGGGGACTTACGTGCGTGGATCTGGCACTGGAAGTAAATCTTCTTCCTCTCGGGGTTGCTACTTGCCGTGATGTGAACAGCGGGCATGTCGAGGCCCAGGTAGCTCTGACCTATACTCTGACGTAGCGGACCAGGTTTGGGTGCTCTTCTGCCTCCTTCTGGTACCACATGACTATTGCATCGTAGGTATGCTACGATGGAGAGGACAGCGTGGGCGGGAAATTATTACACCGAGCAAAACTGAGCACATCGTGTAAGTTAAAGTCTTTGTAAAACTGCAAAACACGTCCGCGTATCATTAAAAAGCACCTTTTCAGTTCTGCGAATAAAGTCGGCCAGTCAACAGAGCAAACTTATTCAGCCTTCATGGTTTCATGAAACTCTTTATCGACCAAAGATTTTAGCCGTACCTTACATAAGTAGCTTGTATACTATGTGAAACATGGCGCGTGTGTTAGCTTGCCGATAGGTGATTGTACACGCAGATGTTTGTGTGTAGGTGTGCTAAACAGTGAAAGTATGTCTAGAGTATGCATATCAGATTCCTCGGTGACTTACGTATTCTTGAAACCAAGCGTTGGTTCCTTCCTGGAACCTGGCCTTCTCCCAGTTCTCTATCGCCGCTTGGCACTCGGCTAGACTTGCCTGAGAGAGAAACACACAGAGGATGTAGGTAAGGGGCCTGTGTGTGGGGGGGTGTGGTATGGTACACTCTGATGTCATATGAGAGAATGGACAAACGGCAGTGGATACACCCCGATCAGGTTCCTGCAGACTTCAGTTCTATTTTAGTAACCCAAGCATCATCACAGAGGCTATACTAGGAACAGACCACAACATGCTCCCTGTGTGGCAACATGTGAATGGAATAGCTACATGATAGTGACACAGATTGGAGTTACATGCATATGTATGCATTGGAGCATAAACCAATGCCTTGTCCTCCCATAAGCCAAAGTGCATAACTTCTCAGAAGATTAAATTGCACTGTAACACAACAAGGTTCCTGCAGTGTTTCATATATTATATATCCACCATTGACTTTTACTGCCTCAGTGGTGACTGATTAACTACCTTGGCACTCACTACCAGGAACAGCAACTATGTACTCTGCTTCCTTTCTCTGGAATACATGTGCACTAACTGAACACACTGCTTCCTTCCTCACTACAGATACATACGCTAGCTAACTGTGGGGGGGGGAGGTAGGGAAGGACAACAAAAAGGTGGTGCTAATGTTTTTGGACAGATGCTGAAATTCAGTGTAAAGGGTAATGTGGAGGTGATTGTGTACAAAAACAAATTCCTACAAGGAAAAACACCACCAAGCAGGAAGTTGCAACATGGTGTGGGGTTAATTCACTGGTGCATGGGCTAAGAAAGGGTTCTAGGGTTGCTTTAAGGAACTCACTAAGACTTTCACACAACTACTGCTTCTTTTTCTCAAGCAGCGTCTGAATCTACCTGTTATGCTAGCCTCTCTAGAGGCGTGCCATACATAATACAACCTTAGCAAGTTAGTTCATAACCAGTTAGTTCATTAACCATAAAGCTTGCTTCACTAAGACTTTCTCACAACTACTGCTTCTCTTTCTTAAGCAGCGTCTGTTATGCTAGCCTCTCTAGAGGCGTGCCACACATAAGACAACCTATCTCCTACCCAGTGTATGATAGCAAGTTAGTTCATAACCAGTTAGTTCATTAACCGTAAAGAGGTGGCTTATTTGTCACATAGCTGGCATTATATATAGCAGGTTGACCTATTTTAAGACACTGCAAGTTGCCTGGTGCATAATAGCCACACTTACAGAACGAGGCTTTTGGTGTGTGCTACATGATGACATACACACACGAAAACCCGCATTTTCATGTTCAACAGCAACAATAGAAAATCACCTTTGTATTGAGGACACTCTCCAGTACAGACTGTGCCCACACCTCCTCTTCCTGGAGTCTGGCCGGGAACATCTCGGCCTCTGCCTGTTGTATGTGCTCCTCGACGTTGTCAATGAGGACACGACACTCGGGGATGTATTGCTGGACCCTGGCAAACGTCCGCCGGGCCATGCGGAGGTCCACGGTGTCCTGACCGACGTGCCACAGATCCGTGTTCTGTTGGAGCAACTGGATGGTCCCTTTTAGCTTGTCGGTACTGAGTGATAGAGAGTGAATCATATCAGATTCGAGACTGAACAGGCCACCATAAAATAAAATAGAGCATCCAGCCCCTCCCAACTGCTGCCTATGTACGAGACTTTCTCCGTCTACATTATACACACATAAACACTCACATCACACGGAACAACTCGCTAGACTCTGTAGCTATACACAAACTTATGTCTCACCATCGGACGACGATCTGGTCATCGTAACTGGCCGTTCGCGAGTACTCTCCCAAGCTCCAGGCGAATTGGGCCGCGCAGAGAAGGAGACAACCCGCAGCGATAGAGCGCCACATTATCCCTACGTTCTCAACAAACAGTAACGAAGACACCCGGTGAAGTGAAAACGGAAGATGAGTCGAGTTAGGACGTAGCTATTTTACGCATGCGCACAAAGTCCGCACGCCGACACCGCCCACGCCCGCGCCCGCGCGCGATCAGATAGCGGAAAATTCAAAATCGCAAACTCAGTCCTCTGTTCATTCAAAGTTCAAAGTTCATTTTGCAAGACCCAAGGGGCATATGCATACAGTCAAACAGTTAAAGTATAAACATGAAATCTTCATTGCCTTCGGCGCGCATGCGCAGCGAGGGTACTGTAGTTGGGTGTCTGTCTGTGTGTGTGTCTGTGTCTGTTACATCTCACTTCTCGGGTGTTCTTTCGTCTCACAAAGGATATCTACGACCTACTTAACGGGCAATGAAGGTCAGAACTTTCGAACGGTTTTCTCTGAAACTGCTCCGTTGCAAAGCTAGAGCGCGAAGATCTGCGTGCTCTGTGTACTTCCATACCTACCAACCATCCAGCTTTAATCAAGCAAAAATACTGCCTATCCCACCAGAAAGTCGCCATATCCCTCTTTTTTGTGCTAACCTGTGATGATACATTGTGAATGGACATGCAGCATTTTCAAACAAAAATACTCCATATCAAGCAAATTTGACACATTACTCCTGCAGGTTGGTAGGTATGTACTTCGGAGGCACCAGAAGATGCAACATGGGGTGTGTATCGCCTCTCGCATGCTATCTAGTAGTCTAGTTAGCCCGCGTCAGAATCTGCGCGAGATGGCAAGAGACCATGAGTAACATCTAAAACTAAACTCAGCCATCAATTAGTGGTACAGCGCATGCGTTTACTTACGCGTGCGCGTCACAGTGCGCCGAGTGTTTGAATTTCATATTTCATTCAATCATCAATCAACAATTGCAGTCGTAAGAATAACGGGAGAACTCAGGATAGGCTCTAATCCTCCGAGCGACCGTTTCTATCTGTGGTTGGGACCATTCCACGAGGTACCTCGTCTTGGACAAAGTCTTGAAAACCTTCTGCTCACACAAATCGAGGTACTCAGAGTAACACTCCACCTGAACTGCCTCACAAAGTTCTTTCATTACTGAGCGTGGCCTGTGGATAAGGCCTGCCAGGTGCACATCCTGAACAGGTAAGTTACACTCTGTTATCATTTTGTTCACTTGAGAGGTGAGCTCAAAGAAACGCTTTATTTGTCTTGCCAATAGAGCAGGCTGTTTGTATTTGACAGTTTGTGAAGAAAGGTTTCTTGCACTTGCTATTTCATTCATAGTCACAGTGTTGTATAATACCCTTGTGCTTATTATGTCGTAGGGGTTACGAAGCACGCGAATCGCTTTCACAGTAACACCAAGAGTAGCGTTCATCATTTTCATGATGTCAGGACACCTGGAAGTATCGTGCATGTGTTCCTTGACTATCTTCCCGGCAGCCTTATCTCCCACCACCTTCAACCGACGAATCCTCCCCTGCCAACCTCCAGACGTGTCTAGTGTGTAGCCCTTCTGGCCCTTCTTCTTACTCCTCCCGCCACTAGCTGCACTGTCGTGGCTGTTCTTGTACAGTTTGTTTACGAGGGAGAGGACAGCGCCTTTGGTGTTCCCCGAGCCCTTCCGAACATCCTTCAGTATATTGTACTCGTGAGCTATGATTACGTCTGGATGGGCGTCCAGCAGTGAGCCAATGATGCTGTGTCCACTTCTCGCAAACCCAACAAACAACACAAACAGCCTGAGTCCATTGATTTCACTAGATTTCAGTGGAATGAACTTGGCTTGTAGTTTAGGTGCTGGCCTTAGTTCTGGACTACGCTCTTCATGGGCTGATGGCAATGCAGATTCTATTGTGGGATTGACTAACCCTTTGTTTTCAGTGGTAGAGCGAGAAAGGCTTTCAGTCACATCATTTTCGTTCATTGTGGCCACTTTACTCTGAGCCACCAGAGCCACTCGAGTCACAACTAAAGACTGATCCAGTGAGACATTGTGGTGGCCTAATACAGCTGACAGTTGGTCCTTGCCTCTCCTCTGCTGGGTTTTCCTATCTCTCACAACAGTAGCACACAGCAAGACAACCAGCAACACCAGAGCACCACAGACCCTCACAGTCCACCTCCTGCCAAGCTCTACACTCCCCATCTGGCACCTCCAGCCAATAAGCAACAGAGATCTATCTATGAGCTTACAGGGCTAAATTCACTGAGTATTATAGAGGCTCAATATTCATGGATACCTAAGAACAAACTTGGAATGCAATGTGTCATTCTGTGACAATACTCTCCAACTTGGAATCAACTCAGTTATGCACATGTCCAACTTAGCATGGCTTCACACTGAAAAACCCCACAATTCTAATAAGGCTATTCTCATTCATTAGTATATATCATGGTAATGGTGTTAATTAATTGCCAATTAATGTGCTGTTGCTATGCATTTGGTACTTACACCGACAAAGTTGTGCTATGCTTTCTCTACCATTCTTCATTCTCTATCTAAGAGACTTGCTGTCATAAGTTACACTATGGTCTTGTGCATGAACCGCTTGGTTGCATAGCTGTTGAGGTGGTCCTGTTTGGGTGTGACAGTGAATTCTACAATGACAATTGCATGGACTCATCGTGATGGCGATTTAATAAAGTCAGCAATCACACTCAAATGAATAACGTGAATATTCGGGGTATCTCTTGATCATGTTGGCAACAGTTTCTATCTGTTTCCGAGACCATTTCACAAGGTACCTCGTCTTGGACAAAGTGTTAAACACCTTCTCCTGGCACAAGTCAAGGTAGTCAGAGTGGCATTCCACCTGCACTGTCTCACACAGTTGTTTCATTACAAAGCGTGGCTGGTTAATCAAATCAACCAAATGGATAGTGTGAACTGATATGGGACACTGACTTACCACTCTACTCGCTTTGTAAGTCAGTTTGAAAAAGCTCTTAATATTTATATCCAGATCCTTTGTAGATTGAGAGTATTTCGCAGCCTGTGAGGAGTTTTTTGCTCTTGCAAGACCATGATTACCACCCTTTGCTACCAGCACGTTTTGTGGCTATTGTATCATAGGGGTTGCGCAACACACGGATGCTTTTAACTGGCACTCCAAGAGTTCTGTTCAATCCCTCAACAAAGTATTTGCATCGAGTCTTATCAAGATAGTGTGTATTTTCTGTCTGGGCACCCGACTTGTCTCCTATGACCTTTAACTGGCGGAACCTGCCTTGCCACGAGTTTCCACCTATGCCAAGAGTGTAACCCTTTTACGTTATTACTCTGGCTCCTCCAACCTCTCAACACACTTGTGCGACTATTATTGTAGAGCTTGTTGAATAGCAATAGGGCCCAATTTGGTCTACTCACGAAGGCCTTAGTGATGTCTCTGAGAAAGCCGTATTCGTGAGCTATGATGATGTCAGGGTGGGCGTCCAGCAGCGAACCCAAGATGCTATGCCCAGTCTTACCAAACCCTACGAACATGACGAAGGTCCTTAGGTCTCTGATGTCATTCGGGGTTAGTGGAGCAAATGTAGCGTTTAGTAGCACAGGTGGTTGTGACGTGGATCCACCACCAAGTGAGTCCATCATGGCAACCTCTGTGCTAAGCGGGTCCAAAGATTGAAGGGAAGTGTTGAGACTAGCATTAGTGATGATTATCTTCTTATTCTCACTCTGTGTTACTAGAAATTGAGATGGAGCACTGTCGAAAGAAGTAAAACTGCCTTTGTGAGGTTGGAAGCTAGTACGACTGAATTTTGGACTTGTAGAAGTCGACGGTCGGTAGTGCTGTTGTCCGGCGTTCAGGGGGGCGGGTCCGAATTTGGCGCGGAAGGTAAACAACGTCGCGACAATAACCAGGACACAAATACACCTCAGGATCCACTTCTTATGCTCTATCGCCATCGTGTAACATCCGCCACGGCCCTTCCGTCTTGCAGATCCCTTCTTCTTCTTCTTCTTCTTTATAACGCTCCACTGAAGGTGAGTACTGTAGCCTATGGGGTAGTCGATTGAGTGAGAGCAAGTTGACGGCGAAGACGTTCAGCGTGCAGGTTCTGAATAAACTGGATGACTCGCTCTGTAGAGGTGACCGTCGATCCACCGAGTGCCGAGGATGTATATATACCGCCGGTCCGGTCAGATTCCTGTGACGGCGCAATTTCAGTAGGGGGTGAGGCTATTATGCCGGCATAATTTCTGGAATAATTGGACTGCACGCGCACTAATTGGGAGATTTAATAAACGGGAATATTCCACTCGTGCATGTGCGGTAGATATGGAGAGCCGGAGCTGCTGCGCATGCGCGCCGAGGGTTAATGATAGGTTGATTTTTTATATAGCAAGCCAGAATTGCTCAAGAGCGTGCGCCGCCGTGGTCACGTCATATGCATGCATGCGTTAACGGCCGGCCCTGTGCGCAGCGCATTTATATACGTGACGGCGCGCTAATTGTTCGGTGCGCATGCGCAGCGATGGTACATCGCAGAGCGCGCGTGTTGCTACATACTGTAGCAACATTATTGGTTAAGGAACAGCATAAAAATGGTGCATTAACTATTACAGTAAGTACAGTACGCGGTGACCACAGTTCGTCTTGCGTGGAAGTGAAGAAGACGTGCCGCCATCAAGCCACGCGAGCTACGGTGCAGCGAACGGTCCGCCGCCGCGCCGCCCGCGATAGATGGCGGAAATTTCAATCATCAATAACAATGGATAGGCTCTAATCCCTAATCCTCTGAGCGACCGTTTATTCTATCTGTTCTATCTCTCACAACAATAGTACACAGCAGGACAACCAGCAACACCAGAGC